TTCCTTTTTGACTGCGCTTATTCAAGTAACGAGCCGCAAAAAGAAGATAGCTCTAGATAAACTGGTGCTCTCTACGGAAGTTACTCAGCTGACTTCATCTTCACAAATTGAAGAGAGCCTGGAGCACGGCGCCTACGTAGAAGGAATGTACATTGAGGTAAACTGCTACCCTTTCCTTTGGGCATCACCGTAACGTGTGTTCATTTATTCAACAGCTGCTTCTGATTCCTCTGTGCAGGGAGCTCGATGGGATAGCTCTCTGGAGCGCTTGGCTCCGCAGATACCTCGAAAGTTGTCTGAAGAAATGCCGCTTGTTAAAGTTATTCCCATAGAGTCGAGCCGCCTCAACATTCGCAGCCTATTGCGCACTCCCGTCTACGCCACAGAAGGCCGCCGCAACGCCATGGGCGAGGGTTGGGTCTTTGACGCTTGGTTGCCTTATTCTGAGCATGCGTCCTTCTGGGTGTTATCAGGGACTGCTCTCGTGCTACAAACAAGTGACTAGTGACAAACACTGGCATTATAGCTTAGAACTCCTTCAATCATTTTGCGCAGATGAAACTGATTTAACAGTTTCCAACGAAGCAAAAGACAACCCCTCTTTGCTTATATTTTTCATACGAACAAATGAGGGGGAACTGTTCTTTTTAGGACCGGGCTGATGGGCCGCCAGCTTGGCTAACTCAGCAAGGCGAAACTTGTGCTTCAGATCAGTCGATGCGCAGGGTTACCTGTGGGAGTGTCGGAGCATACCAGTGCAAAAGCTTTGCTTTTCTCTTCACTTGCACATTGCCTAACTCGGTTTTTGGATGCGCGCATTGGGTTTCCCCACTCAAACACATAACTTTGAGAACATGAATGCAGGGCAGGCTACTAGCTCAGTCGGTTTCAAACACCCCGTCAGCTCCTTCTTTGCTGCCTCAGAAGAAAAACAAGAAGAAATTGGTGTTTTCCTTCTTCTCTCAATCTACGCCAATATCATGCAAATGCCCCTCGAGTCTGTCCACCGCTAAAGAGTGAATACACCACCGTAGCAATGCTGTACACCGTACTGCTTCGGCTGTGTATTTGCTCTTAAGAAGTGTAACAGCCTCCGTAGTCTGCCGTGCTGTTGCAGAATAGCCAACCCGTGTCAATCACCGAACGCAGCCCCCATATGGCAAACTGGACTCCACTCTGTACAACAGTGTTTACAGAAAACACTCAACTGGAAAATTAGTCGACTGTGAGCCGAAGGCTGGACAAAGTGTGTCCCCTGACGTGTTCTATTTCTGTTTGCCTTCGCGGGTTGCTCTTCTTCTACTTCGTTGGCCATCTCGGAGTTCCTCTACCCCAACTATTGGAAGGAGAAAACAGGAGAAAACATAAACAACTGAGCAGGAGAATATGTTTTATCTCTGCAGTTTCCCGTGTAGAAGTATCACTTTTCCTATGCAGTTAAAGACAAACTATAGCTGGCTCTCCTGGCCTGCATATGTGGCTTTTTTTCAGTTCACATTTCATACTTCTGGACAACGAGCAAACCCTACTCAAAACCCGGTATCGACAGAGGTGTACTTCGGTCAGCCAAACGCCCCCGACAGAAAGCAAAGTAGTGTACATAATCAGGGCAATTAAATTTTTGTGAAATATTCGGGGGGTAATGCGTATTTCACTTTCGTCGTTGTCCTATCAGATTTCGTCGGCGGCAGCGAAGGACGCTGCGTCATTAGAAACAGAGACATAAAGTGGGTCATAGTCGAAACATAGTTTCCTGGACAGCTAGGTATTTTCTGTGCTGAAGAAAAACAAATTGTTTCCAGTTGTTGTTACCAATTTGACTGGCATATCTTCCGCACAACCCGGAACAGCCGGACAACCGAGCGCCTGGCGGTCCCCCCCGAGGTTGCTTCAAGGCAGGACCGGTGGAGACTTGTGTTGGTCCACTGCGTCAATATTGCCTCTACTGTTCTTTATTTTGTATTTCATTTGTTTGTTGTCTTTTAAATCACATTTATCTTTCAAGGGTCTGTTCGTTTACACCCTGCAACACGCCAACATGGGGATCCTCAATGTCTTGACGGCCATCTCAGCCTACGCCCTCTGTGCCGCCGTAGATACCGAGGGCAAACTGCCCCTCTCTGGTACCGTTGCCCCAGGTAATAAAATGTATATTTTTGGCTGTATTGGCTGAATATAAGCTTACCAACAAACGCGCAGTTGGCGAGCACTGTCAGCTTGCCGCCGAGACAGCAGACGAGGAGAGACAGAAACCTGTACCAGAGAATGCGAATGGCGCCTCACGCTACACGAGTTGTTTTCATGCAATTTATAACATTTCCAACTGCCTGGCTGCCAGTGCAGTATTATCAGTCCTCTATAGAGTCCACTGAGATGTTTTCGTGCCTCCTCGTTGCGTAGAGCCAGAAGGAATGGCAGGGATGTACTTCAGTTGTTTCTACACAATTGGCCGGTGTAAAAGGTGTTATTCGCTTCACGTTACTCCTTTTGGTTTTGTTCGCTCATTGCTTCAATGGATTTGCTTTGCCCGCAGGAGCAGGCGCTAACACCAACCGGAGCGACGGCGACAGCAGGTCTCACGAAGGAGATAGCGGTGGGAATTTACACTGAGCGTAGGATTAAACAAGGAGTAAATGTAGCTGATGAAGATATAAAAGCAGAAATTCACCTGGTCCCGTGGCTGTGTTGTTTGTGGGCATCGCGCAGGCAATCTTATGCCGGAAACTCAGAGCAACGAGGACAGCACGAGCGCAGAACCGCCTGCTGCTTCTCCCTCTGATGAAGACATAGACCGACCTAAGACGGAAGTTCCTTCCACCGCTCCCGTTGCTGCAGCTCCTCTTGCTGGGGATGCTGCTACTGCTCCTTCTCCCTCTGGTGCAGAGCTAGATCCTCCTAAAACAGCGGTTCCTGCTGCTTCTGCTGCATCTCCTCTTACTGCGGAAGTTGCTACTACAGCTGTTACATCACCGCCGGATGCAGACTTAAGTAGTATTGAAGAGGCAGTACCTCCTCCCCCTGCTTCTTCTGCAACAGTGCCTGTTGCTGAGGGTGCTGCCGCTGCTGGATCCCATGAGGCAGGGCTCGAAGGAGGCGTCCCCCCTGTTCCTTCAGGCACTGCAACTACGTTGGTGGAAAGAGAAGAGCAGCATGA